CTTTAAAAAGATCGAGTTAGAGTTGAAACTTTATCCAAAAAATCCAGCGTTCCTGGTAAGCTCTGTCTATTAGAGCTTTACTCACAGTTCAAATCTTTAGCATTGGAGGTGGAAACGGCGTCTTGCTTCGTTAGAACGAAGACGTCCCGATCTATGGAGATGGCTGTGAGCTCCGGCGGAGTTCACACCTACATCTCCCTGAGAGCCCTCAGGGAGACTAGGGAACTCTACGCCTACTCACCAGCAGCTCACCTTCTTCCCTTTGCCCGAGAAGAAGGCTGAAGCCGGCAAACAGCTGATACGCGCTGTTTTGCCGGCTTTTACATAGAACGCTGACGGGAGGCTGTCAGATTGCCTCCATCGGCTGCCGGCAGCCACCGGAAGTCAGTATTAGTATTATCATCATCATCATCATTCCTTTGCCTATTAAATTCCACTAGAACTAGGAAAAATTAGATTATGGAACACAGAATAATAGAATTAGAAGGGACCTCGGAGGTCTTCTAGTCCAACAGCAGGAGACCCTATACCATTTCAGAAAATGTTGAGTTTTTAAGGGGGACAATACAAAGCTTAAAATGTCAGTTTTGCTGTGTAAATTTTCTAGCTACACATTCATGCAAAAGAAAAAAAAGGAGATTAAAATTGTCCCCAGTCAGGCTAGTGTTTCTTTAGCTTTTTTCTCTCAGGATCCTTTCCCACTTTTAAAAAATATGAATTATATTTATCAATATTTATCATATTACAAATTAAAATTGTCGCATTCACTGCTGCTACTGCTTCTCACAACTATTTAATGGGATTTTAATATTGTATTATTTCTCAACATTGGTTGGCAAATAATTTTGATTTCACAGACCCCAAGGGGTGTCTTGGGGGACAGTGAAACAATATCTAGAAAATTTTGAGAAGGTGCAATTGGAGCAGTAGGAGATCGCTAGATTCCTGTTAGACCCACCATTAGTTGCTTATTCCCAACTAAACTTCAAAATTCCTGTTTCTTGCAGATACATGCATAGAGGATACCATTAATTTATAACATACTGTGACTCTTATTTTGATATCTTATTTCCTTGTGCTGTCACAATATATGATACCATCCTGTACCAAATAAAACAAATAAAAAGCCTCTGATATTTTGGGGGGGCATACTGTAGACCCGTGGTGACGCTCTCTGTGGGCATGCATGCCATTGCCCCAGTCCTAGGCCTTCAGCTGGGTTTTATAAAACCTTTTCACTTTAGGCCTCCACCACCGTGTGCAAAAAAAAAAAAAAGGTTTAATCAATCAATCAATTTCAACTTCTCGCAGGAAAAAAAAGATCTTGCAAAGTTGGAATTGATTGATTGAACTTTTTAGTCCCACCCAATCTGCCGTTACCACCGCAGCCACGCCCACCCAATGGGCCACACCCACTCGGCACCCAATAATACATAAGTGGGTTTTCGATTGCAGTTTGGGCACTTGGTCTCTAAAAGGTTCGCCATCACTGCTGTAGGCAGTAAAGGCTCTATATTCAAAAAAGAAAGTAATAGTAGGCCTAAGTGTATCTCAGAATCAGAAGAAGTCCAAGAAAAGGGACTGAGGTAGTCCCAAAATGTATAGTAAGGATTCTACATGCTTAGCTGCCCTAAGATTATCTTGTGTGCCGGTTGCACCCATTCCTAGATTGGAAGGTTCTGCCCACGGTCATTCATGTCCTCATCATTTCCTGGTTAGACTATTACAATGCACTCAGGAACTATTGCTGGTTCATGGATTTTGGGGTGCCTTACTGCTATGTGAGCTGCACTGGATACCAGCAGGTTTCTAGGGGTCAGTTCAAGGTGCTGTTTGTTACCAGATTAGATTATTTACAAGACTGCTTTTCCCAATGGTTTATGCCTATGCCTCCAGTTCTGGCATGGTGGGCATGCTCTGGGACCCTTCTGTGAAACAGTCAACTAGTGGTACCCAAGAAGTATGCCTTCTCTGTCATGACACATGCTTTGCAACAGGCTTCTCCCAAAAAATTGGGTATTCCTCCCCCCCTCCCAAGCACATTGTTGGCATTCCAGAAGGTCTTGAAGCCTGACTTTTCTTTCAGAAGTCAGAAGATTTATGGAGCCTATTTTGTGTGTTTGTTTTTATGCTGAAAGATAGTTTATGAGGAGCCTTGGTCATTTTTAATTATGCATTGCCTTGTGATTTTTACATTATGTTATTTTATGTATCCATTTTGTTTTAAACACACATACACACATACCATTATTTGTTTAAGATGGGATTCCATGTGAAGTAAATAAATACAGAATGGCAATGGAAAAAGATAGAAGAGGTTAGGAATGACTGAGTCATCAACAACAAGCATATTACATTATCATCATCTGTATCAGGGTTGATTTTTAATAGTAGTTGGCTTTACACACTGTGCCAAGCCATAATGAGACTAACTTAACACAAAGTTAGTGAATTTAACAAAAATATTGAGTTTAATTCAACAAACAATTCATGGCTTAACACAATGTATGAATCAACCTATTCATGTTATATCTTTTGCACTGACTTAGAAATGCATGCTATTATTTAGTGCGTATGCTGATTTGAAAAATGAATATGCATAACATTTTAATTCTGATATCTTAGTCAAAGCAGATAGTGCTTTATAATATGATGTGCATTTTCTCTGTTATCTTCTATTGGAATAGAAAAGGATGGTGAGCTGTTGAAAATTCAGATTGTTGAATTGTTCTCTAAACATGCATACCAATTTTATTTTATTATGTTAATGCTCAAGTGAGATACTTTGCTACAAGCCACGGCACAGCAAAATTAGAGGTTTTGAGTATATTTTACAGGCAGTTTTCTTCTTTTAATTTTTGTTTAAAGTCTGTCAAATATTTTAAAGTGTTAAATTTTACATTTGCTTGGGGTCTTCTTTAGGTCTACAAGCAACAGAATTTAATATACAGCTTTAGTCTGTACATGAGTGTACATCATGCTGGCCAAATAATTCTAGGAGTTGAAGTCCACATATCTTAAAGTTGCCAAGGTTGAGAACCATGGTCAGATTTATGATGTAGCACTAAGTACCATTTAGTCTATGAAATAATATGTGAGTGATTGTTTTATTTCTTTTTTTATATGGATTCTTTTCATATGTTCTTTCATCTGATGTTCTATTACAGAAATTACTTATTCAATCAGTGTTTATACAGGAACATTACCAGCATCTGAAACAGATGCAAATATCTTTATTGCGCTAATTGGAAAGAATGGAGACTCTTACAAAAGGAAACTGAAGCATTCAAAATCATGCCCACAGTTTGAAAAGGGTCAGGTAAGTATGGAACACGTGTAGTTATGCTTCAGAAATTTTGTAGATATTTCATTGGAATGTAGAACAGCCATGTGCCAAAACATACCAATTTAGTTACAAGAGAAAAGTATTACAGCCTCAAACTCCTCTCACTCATGCCATTATGTGAAGACCTGAAAAATTCTGAAGCACAATCCTGATCTTCAGATGTGTGCCCTATCTCCACAATTATCCCTCATTCCCAAAATGAAGGAAACAAAGGCCACTTACTGCCACCCTCAAAACATGTGTAATGCCATATATTTGTAGAAAATTAGGACAATACTTAAGCTGTCAGAAGTAATTAGTTATCTCATTCAATCATCCAAGAACTATAATCCTGGATAAAAGGGTATATGAGAAAGTATTTAATATTATGAAACCAATCTGTTTATGTTCATACATTCAACATGTTGACACACCCATCAAAAGATTTAGTAGCTATCATATTGCAAAACTCAAGATCTTTTGCAGACAGATTTGCTTTCAATGAAAATTAATTCTTGGCTGCTTTCAATGTACACTAGTTCACTGCATTTACAAAAGCACCTGTAGTACAAATTCCTAAGTCATGATATGTTCACTATCATTTTTAAAAGCTTAAGTCATTAAAATGCTTTATAGTAAAAGAACTGTTAATTCTTTGAAAAAGTCCCAGTGCAAGTTACTTTTTGCAGCTATTCTAATGAAACAACTATTGTTGAGAAGAAGAGAGATATCCATATTATACTGCTATGGCCTTTAGTGAATATTGGTCTACCTATTGACAGAGGATGCCATGATTGTTATATCTATTTCTTAAATTATGACCAACAAAGTCTGAATGCTAAGCCGCAGAAAGCCTGAATAAGAAATGTAACATGAGATATCTGCTTTCAGTATAACCTACCCTTTTTCTGGTCACACCAAATCTAATTAATACAATGTCCTGCTGTTTGATTACAGATCTCTGGTAATTAAAAATTAATGTAAAATTAGCTAAGCAATTGATTTACTTACCCAAGAGATTTCTGGAATGTCTTATATTAAAGAATTCTAAGAGGACATTTAAAAACCTTTTCAGATGCTGATTTTTTAACTACCCCCTAGGATGATGATAGTGTTTGCAAACCATTATTGATTCAATGCCAATTTCCAAACTTCTATTCATCCTTGCAAAATTCATTTGCATTCGCTTCCCTTATTTTAGAGATGTAGGTAGTTCTCAATGAACAACTATTCATTCAGCAACCAAATTTTACAATGGCACTGAACAAGGATGGATCTTCATAGTTGCAGCCACTGCAGCCTCTCTGTGATTATGTGATCACTATTCTGACACCACTGCAAGCTCTAGGCTGCCCTAGTTATTTTAATAAAAGAAAAACAAAGAATTTGATTACATCATAAAAAAACAAAAGTGGGTACTATCACTTGAGTTACTATCTTTATAGCTAACTGCTTTTATTGGTTTAATGGGTTAAATGTTCTTTTCACCTGGTTGAAGCAAAATTTAAATTAGGAAAGGCAATTCTATAGAATCACTTTTGTCTTTCAGCAGCTAGCATTTCCACAAAGGAATAAATGGCATAACATAAAAGTTTAGTAAATTGTGAAAACTAAAATTTCCTCCATCATGAGGAGAATCTGTTGATAACAAAGTGTCTCTTGGACAACTGTTTCACAAATCTATGTTATTGTGATACAGAATGTGCTTAATAATGGATCTGAAACTGGAAAAGAATAAATAAAAGAAAGATTAATATTGCCAGAATTAGTATTATGTATGAGTGTATATACTGGCACAACAGGATCTACAATTTCCATAACAAACTCAAAAGTGCTAAAATGTTCCAAGTTATTTTCAATATGTTTTTCATGCCTGTTACCTATTTTGGTCTTTTTCATATACTTGCTCATTAAGGATAGCATTTGCCATGGTAACTGATTTGTACGATGGTAACTAAATATATAAAGGTAAAAATATCAGTTATTCTTTTTTTTTTGTTGAAGAAAAATGCAATCTTTCCTGAAGAGTATTAATTAATATTTAGATTTTAAAAGATCTATAAATCTGATTTTTTAAAGTTAAATATACTTTCAATTTTTTTTCTTGAGGTTTTATTTAATTTGTTTTAATCTGGTACTATATTGATTGCCAAAATATGCTGCTGCTATCATCCATCTGGTCATCTTGTTACTATCACTGGCATCTACAGTTCCTTCCATTCATTCATTGAAAAAAAGTCTCCTTTGAGTCAAGCTTAATTTCTTGTGACAACATAGATATAGTCATGCTACTGCCTTGGCAACAACAGGGAAGCATTTTACATTGCCTTTTCTTCAGTTTTTAAAAAGTCCTGGATTATGGTGGTGATCCAAATACTAGCTGGATCCATTCTTTGCTTACCATTTAAGAGATCAGCCAGGATTATCCATCCATTCCTTTTCTCTCTCAAATAATATAGATTCATTCCCTAACAGGAATGATGCTATAATCATCATGGATGCTATAATTATGTTTCTATTAATATGAATGTCTTCCTAATTGTTGGTAATTCCCTTCACTCTCACTCCAAAAATAGATAAGTACCTTTGCTATCCAAGCAATTGATCTTGGGATGTTAAGCTCAGTGTTGGTGGAACACAATAACTCTGGTTATGGAGCTGGATGGTACCTTGACCAAATCTTGATACAAGAATTGGAGAAGAGCGATAGTCAATATGTATTCTCATGCCACCAATGGTTGGACAGCGGTGTTGGTGATGGAAAGATGAAACGAGAACTGCAGCTTCTTGGAAAAACCAATAAAGAAAGTCTGACAAAAGATATTCATGGTAAGATATACAATAAAATGCTTTCAAGCTTCTATTTTGATGCATCTTTGTCCTACCAGGTTGGATCTACTAAGAATAAAAAAAAGCATGTAGACAGGTTTATCAGAACAATATCTTTAATGCAAACTGTATATCCTTGGCATTTTGTAAAGCTGGGTAATGCAGTTATAATATGTAAATGAAAATAGATAAGCACATGGAAAGATTAAAAAGTATAATCAATGTTTTAAATGAGATGTGGGGATTGAATGCACCATGGAGAGAGAAAAGAAAATACAGAATTCTCTATGCATGAGACATAAGGCTATTGGATTTGAGGCTATTTCCTCACCTATTCTAGCTGAGTTTTCTTTCTTTCCCCCAGTCACATTTGGGAATGGTGCTTTAAATTTTTATTAATTGAAACGATCATATTACTACTCCAAAGAAAAATATTAACTCAATACTCATTCNCGCGGCGAAAGGAAGGGAGATCAGGGATAACCCTGATCTCTGGGGGCAGTTCATTCCAGAGGGTGGGAGCTCCCACAGAGAAGGCCCTCCCCCTTGGGGTCGCCAGCCGGCACTGTCTGGCTGACGGCACCCTGAGGAGACCCACTCTATGGGAGCGTACCGGTCGATGGGAGGTACTCTGCGGCAGGAGGCGGTCTCTATTTAGAAGGAATAAACTCTTTGGAACATGTATATTCAAAAATGCATTGTATTAAATACTCAAAAATCATTGTATTTGTTTTTTCTGTAGTACTGTACCAATACACACTCATATTTGAAACACTGTTTTAATTTTGATTAGTTAAAACAAGGAGTGTGGCAAATAAAAGAATTCAAGTAGCAAGGGATATAGATCTTCTAGAGTGTTTTCATTGGCTATGTGTTCACAAAAGCAGCAGCTTATTAATTGGGTTACCTTAAATTTCTAATTGGAGAAAATCTTTAATTCAAAATGATCCATGGCTGAAGCAACTTTGAATTCAGGCATGGTGCTTTTCATAAACATAACATTGTAGTTATATTCAGAGGACACAACGACAAGGACTTCCATGACAACGTCTTCAGTTACCAGCTAAATCCTATCTTTGAATTAAAAGTTTCTATAAAATGAAAATAGTGTCTTCCTCAGATATTTTTGTGAAGAAAAAAATCTATCTATGAGTGTTATATGAATTATAATATTGTATTACTCTACAAGATAATGTAATTAAACATTATCAATTATCAAAATCAATTATTCCATCCACCTTATATATGCAAAACATCATAATTATACTACAGAACTGATAAACAATTAAGCATTTTTTACATTTCAGATGTAGCATTGCAAACAAATTATTTCTTGTTGATTTCTAGGGACTTGGGATGTCACTGTTATAACTAGGGAAATGTCAGACAATTACGGGAACCCTAAATTAATTCTGACAGTATGTGATGACAAAGGTACATCATCTTCAGTCTTCATTCCCAAAGGATCATTTAAGAGGGCTAAAACTTACCATACATCTTTGGAGCTAGATAAGAAATTTAATAAGATTTGCAAAATTCGCTTGGAAGTAGAAGACTCTGACAGAGAAACATGGCATTGTCATGAGGTAAAATTTAATTACGCATTAGTACATACTTTTACGCAAATGTTCTTTAATTTTATAATTCAAAATTTATTCATAGACATACATGATCTGGGGTTACCCATACATAAATGGTTTTTTAATCATCCCATGTCACAACAAATCTCATTGATTTCAGTAACTCTAAATATTAAGTCTTGATCCAACACATTATGATATGGTTTCCATACTATAGCAGGAACTATAGAATCTCCTATTTATTCCTGTATAAAATTCATATTTCTACTGGTATCCAAGAAACAACTTGGGTTGGAGGCATCTTTATATTGTATTTGTGATAGTAAAAAATGCTGTATATTGTAAGCAGCATTTCCAGTATTTTTTTTGTGTGTACTGTCATTAGTAAACATGTCTGTCTTAACACAATTCCAAACTGGCCATAACATTTCTGGTTCTGTTAAGGTCTTATTAATTTAACTCCTCCAGTGTCGGTTTCCTGTGAAGTCTCGGAATCTTAGTTTACCAAATTATCTGTAATCCTTTATACTACTTTTCTCAAAGTTAAAGGCTCTATTTGATAGTAAAAGTTCCAGACTAAACTAATACGTATATAATAAAAGAATAAAAGATATCCACTTCGAAGTTTTATTTTTCTCAAAGGAAACTTTAGAAATCCCTTGCTGCCGAGATTTTCCAGATAATAAAGGATGCACAGTAGCTGAATTTCCCATTCTTATAACTGGCACCAGGTTTTTAACAGGTTTGTTACTTACCAAACAGTCAAAACAACTTCCACAAAAGCTTACAAAGGACACTTGACTCCTATGTGGAGTTGAAAAGTAACACAAAAAGGAAAAAGGAATGAAAAGACTATAGTAAGCCAGTTTAGGCTTCAATTCTTAAAATTACATACTAGACGCTGTGGCTGATGCCAGATAACAGTTAAGAAAGAAGAGTAAATGTTACATTCCACTTTTTTTTACTAGACTGTTTGAATCATGGTTCCTTCTTTGTGGCACTATTGCAGTTCTTTAAAATATCTTCTTTGTATAATGCCAATACTAACAGTAATTGCCAGCAATTCTTGCCATATGCAAAGCTATTTTTCTCCAAGGAACAAAAGTTGGAAAAGGATGGGAGAGCAGAAAGACTATCAACCTGCTGTTATAATATGACTCTTTTTTATTGTGATTTAGATTCTTAGTTGTGTTCTCTGTTATGGTTTGTTCTTATATTATATTGTCTAGAATTGATTTCCATTGTTGTACGCCAGGGGTGTCAAACTGCCGGATGCGTCATGCCAAAACTGCGCCCACCCCATTGCCGGCAATGGGAAAAAAGTCACGATATGTCGCGACACATCACGTGACGTTGTGAGTTTGACACCCGTGTTGTAAACCAGTCTAAGTGGTAGATAAACAACTGACAAGGCAGGACATAATTTTCATTAAAATTATCTTGTAAACAAAGGGGATATGAATTGTTTAGTTTTGCTTGGAGGCCTTGTCAGCAATTCCAATTTACTCAACTTTATGTGTAGATGTCATACATATGCTGAAGCTTCTTCTTGTATATTTTAGAAGATAAAAGGCAGGTTGTTTTGTGAGTCAAAAGATGTTTTGCACAAATCTTTATCAAAGCCAAGCCTCTCTTTGTATAACCCTGGCACATTTCCTAATTACGGAGAGAGCTTAGCAACTCAATGAAAGAAACTACAAACTATAATATAATCGCTAGCATTTAATTTGATGGGGACCCCTCCAGTGGCAGCCAATAGTACGTTTAATATATACACATAATTCCAGTTTTATGTACAAGAAATGAGTACTTGGTCTCTTCCAGTCATTTCAGCACATTGAAATCTATCCACATAGACCAAATTCTTTAAGGAACAGTTGAGAAATCTATATATATCCAAAAGAGACCATTTAAGTGATACTATTTTCCAGTAATTAATTTCTTGTTTGCTGCTGTAGTTAAACTTGTTTTAATATTTTTGTTAGCTGTTGCTCTGAGTGCTTTTTTAAATAACGGGAAAATATTTTAATTAACAACTACTAATATATTTGTTCCTTTATAATATATAAAGAATATATTATATCCTTTTAAATATTATATCCATATAATATATGTTTATAAACTGATATGGGGTTTTTTTTGTCTTTAGTTAAACAATATATTCTGTATATCTCAACGGATTCCGCCTCAAAGTCAGGTACAGACTCTGATGTGTATGTCACTTTAAAAGGGACAATGGGAGACACAGGCCGGAGAAAAGTACTCAGAAATGGGCAGGAATGCTTTTCTGAAGGAAAGGTAAGCTTTTCAAATAAATAAACAAAAAAGGATATATATGTATGATTTGTCCTAATTAGAGAGATATATAGAAGTGCTCTTTACTAGACAGGATACAATCCTAATTCATAATGTGATGGAGCATGAAGATGGAGATGAAACAAGGGAGTGTAGACATCCACAGAGATGGTCTTGAGGGAAATATCAGAAGGCATTACAAAAACAAAAAAAACCCATTATTTGGATTATAATACCCACGTTTAAGAAAAAGGTCTTTTAAGAAAAGATCTATGGTTGTTATATCAATGAAAGCTAGTAAAAGGCCTTCCTGCCTTTTGCCTCAGTCTGTAAGATTAGAAAGAAAAATTTCCACATTCTTCCCCAAACTGCCTATTTATTCTTTTTCGAGAGCATATTCCCATTTGGAGAAGGCAGATTTACTCCTCACAATAAACACTGCTGTCTAATCTGTGATCAGTTTCAATTAATTATCTTTACCTTCTCCATTACTCACTGCAAGCAATCATTCAGAGATGTCATACCATTTCCTGAAGATGTCATAGAGAAATAAATCTTGGTGTCAGCAATAAGCCTGACACCAAGATTGCAGCTGATGAAGTAAGAACTACTTTCCAAAATAGACATGGTGTAAACACACAGCTACTGGGCTTCAAGGCCACCAAGCACTGCACCAAGTACTAGTTAGTTTGAAAGGACAGAAAAAAGAAGTTTCAATTCTTTCAGAATATGTAAAAGTCCCTAATATCCTTGTATTACGCTAGGTCAGTGGTGGCGAACCTATGGCACGGGTGCCAGAGGCGGCACTCAGAGCCCTCTCTGTGGGCATGCGCACCGTCACCCCAGTCCTAGGCCTTCAGCTGGGTTTTATAAAACCTTTTCGCTTTAGGCCTCCGCCACCATGTGCAAAAAAAAAAGGTTCAATCAGTCAATTTCAACTTCTCGCAGGAAAAAAAAAGATCTTGCAAAGTTGGAATTGATTGATTGAAGTTTTTAGTCCCACCCAGTCTGCCGTTACCACTGCAGTCACGCCCACCCAATGGGCCACGCCCACCCAATGGGCCACGCCCACCCAATGGGCCACACCCACCCGGCACCCGACAATGCATCAGTGGGTTTTGGGTTGCAGTTTGGGCACTCAGTCTCTTGAAGGTTTGCCATCACTGCACTAGGTGGTCATTTATAGTGTATTGTTTAATCCTTGTATGCATAAGACTCTGATTTAATCAGGCCATATCTGTGATACTTCTGCCAAATCAGGCTGAAGAGTTGAGGAAGTCATACTGCATCCTGATCAGGGATGTCGACACTGATAATATCCAGTTCTAAATCTGAGGTTCTACACCAATACTTTCATATACAGTAGATATTGACAGTATTGGAGATAGAATGGAACCTGGAAACACTCTTGTTCTCAGAACCAGTTGACTCAAAGAAATTCCATATGAAATCTACTTGAGGGATAGAAAGAATATTACTGCAAAGGCATGGCTCCTATTCCCAAATCTTTCTTGAATATGGGAAACTACCATAATTGACAGTAATGAAACCTTGTGAGAAGTCAAGAACCAATAGAGTAACACCTCTGCTGTTGATCATAAAGCACATATGAGCCATCGGGCCAACCAAGCCTTCAGAGCTCATGATGAACTCACTTGAAAATGGGTCCATATATTTTGCATTCTCCAGGACTACTAAATTTAGGGCTATCATCTGGCTAAAATCAAATTAATTATTGTTTGATGTCAGTAAAGTAGTTCAGTGTTTTGAATCTCCTTGCTACTATCTAATGCTTGTTTGGAATCATGGAGCTCCAGATATACTACAGATGTGTTGATGAGAACATTCAAATATAAAATCTATTTCATTCATTCATTCATTCATTCATTCATTCATTTATTGTTCATATAGCTAAATCAATGGATTGCAGAGCTCTGCAGAGAAGAATTTTGTTACAAATGTAATCTAAAGGTTGACAGCACCCCTAGAACATCAGGGAAGGTGGTGCTGGCATGCAGATTAATGGTTGTCAAATAAGAATAAAGCATTGAGCTTCACTTTCCTGTTGCTTTTATAAGCTTGACAGTTTTATAGTGGATGTATCAATCTCATTCTTCTGTTTATTAAGTCTTGGTATGCTGACTGTGGTCCTTCTAGGTGGATGTTTTTCCCATAGAAGCAGTAGATATTGGAACTCTGAGTCAGCTTATTGTGGAAAAAGGAAAAGGCTCTGCTTGGCACCTCCAGAAGGTTATAGTGAAAGAACCACAATGTGAAGGAAAAGAGACACTCTTTATGACACAGACATGGCTGAAAGACACAACTGAAAAGAAAAAATATGCCTCAGTAACTCTGAGTGCTACCGGTCAGTGTTATCTGAGACATCTCTCATTTGAAATTTCTTGTGAAGAATCTCCTTCTTAATGGCAGAACATGCCATTTTTTCCTAGGTATTATAAGCTTGAATAACAGAAAGCACACAATGCAGAATCTTTGCTTATGCCAGCAACAGCACAAGCCAACTTAGCAATAAGATTGTAGAATATTAATTAAATGTTGCAAGTTGCAACCAAATGCAACATAAATTTATGAAAGTGTCTGTTATCAACTATTTTTGTTTTGTGATTCCTTCAAAAAGGATTGGATGAAGTGCTATAATATCAAGAAATGTTCTCAATTATTCTTACCGCTCAGGAGATATATTAATATGTTTGATAAACTATTATTTATTATCAATAGGCAATTTTCTTTCTTGTTGTACCTTTTGGTTTTTTTCAAAACTTTCTTAAGATATATAGAAAAACTCAAAACCTTTTAAAAAGTTTTTTTTAAGTTTCCATTTGTTTTATATATTCCAAGTTAACCATGCAACCATATATTTCTTACACTCTAGGAATGGCCCCATCATCCAATGATTTAACAAAAAAAACCCTTTTCCATCCCTTCACATTTCAGGAAGCCAGAGACAGGAAAAGCTGGCATGTAATGGCAAAGATCTTGATGATTACATCCTTAAGCTTTACTCTATCAATAGCTCCAACTATAAGCTTGTCAAGCATTATGTGTCCAACCAGCTTTTTGCCTTTTCTTCTCTTGTTCATCATCTTCTCTCTCTTCCTGTTTCTTATTCACAGGCACTTTGAGGCATTCAAGGGCCTCATTTTAAGTAAAAAAAGAACTTCTATATAAAAATAACTATTCCTGCTTTCCTGGTATAAGACTAAAGACATGACTTGGTGCACTCAAACGGTTCTACATTTCAATATATTAGTATATTTAAGCCATTAAGATCCCAGCTACACAGTACAGTAAGTTATGGCATTGGTTTAACATTAACTGATGATACAAGCCTGTGTTCTGCATGGACTAAGAAACCACAGCGTATTGCATTAAGCTTCCAAGAAATTTTCTCCATTTCTCTAAGGAAAATATGATTATCAATTATTTGAATGTAAGTTAAGAAATGTCTAGGTTTATCACATATATGATCATTTCAGTATTCTTTTACAAATAAATATTAATCTCTCCCTTTTTCTCTTTTTTAATTAGAAGTATTGGATAGGAGAAACACAACTGCCTCATTATTACAAAGCCAAAACATGAAATCAGGTACTTTATGTAACACCAATCCATGATGACTCAGACTGCTTAAATAAATATTTTGTTTTTAAAATACTTTGCTATTATTGGCAATATCAATTTTTATAATTATGTTTAAATAGTGAAATATCTTATCTAACATTCTAATGTAACATATTTACTGATTAATATATATTAGATTCAACCAATTTGAACATCCTTCCCATAATGCTATTTTCTTTTATTTGTTTAGAAGGTCTGTGGAAGATATTTTGCACTACATGTCATGAAGATTCATCAAAAGCATTTGAAGAATCTTGGGAAAACTTTACTAAACTGACTTGGGTGTTCTATGGAAACAGTGGCAAATCTGAACCAATTTCCTTGACGAGTAAAACAGGAATTCAAGCTGATGACAAATTAACATTTGATGTAAAATAAATATGTATTCCATTATCTTTCCAATGAACATGTAAATTATTTGTATGGAGATAAAACATACAAATTTAATCAGGAAATCTTTCCATCTTAGTCTTACCACTAAGGTAGAGTGAGGCAACTGTGTCACAAAGCATGATCTAGAGAGTTCACAACAACAGTGGCTTTCTCTCACTCTTTCCTTTAAATCTCCTACCCTATGTTAGTAAGCTATGGTACTATCTATTTGATTCTTGCTTCATGCAAAAAAGAACCAGTCCTGAATTCTTTATTCTTCTTGATATTGTTGATTATCTTATAAAATGTCATTTAACATCATTGTTGACATATTATAATGAACACATTTAAGAAAGACCAGTAAATGCAAGATAATACTAATGTGTATTATCATATTAACATCAAAGATTTGAATTTGCACATGATTTTCTTTATTTATGAATCCATGCTTTTAAAAAAATGAGATGTGGACTTAGAAAGTAAGATTTTTTTTGGAGCTTTCCATTTTAGCCTGTTGGATCAGCAGGAATAGACAATGCCTAAGAAAATGTTATTTCAAAATATGATTTAATGTCATTTTAATCATAATGGAAAACTACTTATTCTGCTATTCTCTTTTAGGTATATTTCCCATCTGATCTAGGAACGCTTTATAAAGTGAAGATTGGGATTCATCTCTTGGGAGAAAGCATATGGCAATTGTTTCATCACTGCAAAATCCAGAACACTGTAACCCTTGATACCTTTAGTCTCTCATTACATGAAACATTTCCTCTTCTTAATGGAGATCAGTGGATTGAGTTCCCTATCGAATGGCCATTAATGAAAGCCCTTTCTGGTATGTATCCATTGGCATTTGGCCACTGCGTATTCCAGAAATTACAACTCAAATGTTTATCAAGGGGATCCATCTTAATTTCCTTTAATTAACTATGCCATAAAATGACAAGGCTTCTATATATTGAAAAAAGTTACTATTTTCAGATCAATATTTTAAGGTTAAACCTTCCATTTGATTAGTTTAGTGGCAGACGCACTTACTACAGAGGAGAGAGAGGTATAATTGTTTCCATTATAGGTCTAGGGTTTAAAGGTCTAGGGCACACTTACTTATAACAGATGAGAATGTATATTTTTGAAAGCTATATTGGTTCCTATGCATTACTTAAACAAGAGTCTTGTGTGATAGCAATGTGAGAGATGCGTTCCCTTCCCTTTTGTGAAGAAAAACTTGGAACAGTCCTCAAATTCCATTATTGATACTTGCTACTATTTGTAGAGGTGCTGCCACAATATCCAGCAATTATTTGAATGGTTCAGAATGCAGTGGCCCACACCATTTATTGCAAGCCTAGACTTGTGTATGTGTCACCTCTTTTGTGGGAGCTGTTCTGGCTGCCAGTTTGCTTCCGGGTACAAGTCAAGGTACTGGTTATCACTGACTTGGGGCCAGTCTATTTGAAGGACCACCTTTTCCCATTATACCCATCCAGCCCACCAGGGCAGAAAGGCAGGCTATGTTGTTGGCCAATTCTATTAGGGAAGTACATTTGGTGGGACCATGAAAAAGAGCCTTCCTGGTGATGGCCCCTTCTCTATGAAACATAATTGGCCCCCATCTTTGTTGCTATTTCAAAATGCCCCAAAGATGTGGTTGTAGGCTGTTTGTAGTAGGCTCTCACTTCATTTAATATATTAGAAATTATTCCATGATATGGCCATATTGTCACTGCAAATCAATGAAATGTTGGTTTAATCTAGTAAAAAGCCAGTTATCAGTCAACTGTATATAGACTGATAAGTGTATAAGAGCAGTGTGAAGACATCCCAACTTGTTAATAGCAGAGTCTTTTTTTTTATTCCCCATACATTTATGGGATCGTATCTGTATGAGAAATAGTGTACAGGCATGTATTCAACAGTGCTACTGAATTTCATACGAAATGATACGCATGTGAAAATGTATCTATCAAATAACAACAAAAATGGATCTAAATCACAGTCTGGAAATTTGGCACATACTAGTTATAAAATCTGTTCATGTCGCTTTTTATGATGAATATATAAGTAATATTAAATGATCAAACTGGGTATTACATATAAACATTGGTGAGTGTTTGGAAAAAGTAAGTAGAAATGTAATGCATATATAATCATTTGCAAAAATGAATTTATATTTCTGAAGAATTAAAATAATTGCCATTGAATTCAAATATTTTATTACATTATATGATTAGTCATGTTGAATTAAATGCTAAATATTTTATGTAACTGAAGTGCAAATGACTCAAAATAATTTAATACATGGATCATAAGAATCCTTTGTTTAAATACAATATATTTTTTCTAGTATTTCACAGTAATATTAAATTTGTCTGACATGTGAATATTAGTAGCCAGTTGCATAAGCTAGTTGAATTGATTCAAACTAATTCTGTTTCACTGAATTCAGTGGGACAAAATCAGCTTAATACTTTTGTAGCTGTTTATTTCTGAATGTTGCTGTTTGGTACATTTATCACTGTAATGCTTATTCCCTCAATATAACTGTGTTCCCAGTTATTCCAGCCAATCAGCCATCTGCTATTTAGTGCCTACAGACAGTAAAAATATTGTCCAGATGTTGGCAAAGAGTTCTTTTCTCAGGAAACCACTTAGTTTATTATTATTAATACCAGAGAGCCAATTTGGTTGAGTGGCTGCAACACTGTAGATTTATAATGATTGGTGAAGGCCTGTAAAACTGTAAAATGGACTGAATAGATTTATTTAACTTTAGTGGTGAAATACGTACTGAGCTACCTTTTCTACATCCATTCAGACTTGAAATACACAAATACAGATGATATAAAACTATAAAGAGTAGCCAATATTAATAAAACAATCAGAATAAAAAGGTTCTGAGCAGGCTGAATTACTGCATCAAAATAAATATAATAAAATTCAGCATGATTAATTCTAAAATGTACATTTATATCAAAGAAACCTATACTTATGGGTTTCATTCCATGAATTATGGAATGTCATAAGTATATCATAGGTATAAAATGGAAGTATATGTGGTATCTATGATCCAAGTAACTTAGACCAATCTCTTACTGTGTCATCCCAGGTAACAACTATTGGGATGTAGGATTGCTTCTGTCAATTGAGACAGCTCTGTAGGTCTGCCTTTTTCTGGCACATGAGTCTTCCCTATGGCCTCACATGTTCAGGTTACCTTCAGGTTGAACTCTAGCTTCACTTTATGTTGGGCCTTCTTTGAAGCAAATACAGCTACAGGCAATCCTCAACTTATAACCATAACTGGGGCCAGAATTTCCATTGCTCAGCAAGATGGTTGTTAAGTCAACCACACCCGATTTTATGATCTTTTAGCCATAGTTGTTAAGCAAATTTCTATAGTTGTTAAGTGAATCATGAAGCCATTATTTATTTATTTACACTGCACATTTCTGAAGAGCCCATCCCTCTCAAACAGGGACTCTGGGCGATGTACAATAAAACATCAAAATATAAAAATATAAGTGATAACGTTAACATTTTAAAATTAGAATATTTAAAAATTCTTTAAAAAATATAGGACACAGGAATGAATAAACCCTGTTAAAAGTTAATTAACAAAGGCAAAGGGAGATCTCTCATGGCACCAACCAATCCCATGACTGTGTGAGAATCCATTAAGCGAATCCAACTTCCTCCATTGATTTGGTTTGTCAGAAGCTGCTGGGAATGTCACATAATGGCAATCACACAACCTTGGGATGCTGCAACTGTCATAAATAAATGCTGGTTGCCAAGCATCTGAATTTTGAACATGTGACTGTGGTGATGCTGCGATGATTGTAAGTGCTGTGTATTGGTTGTAAGTCACTTTTTTCAGTGACCTTGTAACTTCAAATAGTCACTAAACAAATAGTTGTAAGCCGAGGACTCCCTTTACTATAGGTAGCACATTTGCTCCAAAGGTTTCCAATGTTCTCTCATCTCTATGCTTCAGGAGCTTCATTAGCGGTCTGTGGCCTCAAGGGTGCCTTTCATGATTTTACTAATGATATATAAAGCCCTTTATGGTTGAAGTCTGCTTACCTTGCAGAACATTTCAAACTGTTTCCTTCTCCAAATAGACATAGTCACAAGGAGGAAATGTTCTGGTCATTCTATGCTATTGGCTAGAGTGTGCAGAAACTAAGGTCTTCTTGGTGGGTGGATTTAGATTACAGGTAGTCCTTGACTTATAACAGTTCATTTAGTGACTGTTCAAAGTTACAATGGCACTGAAAAAAGTGACTTATGACTTACGACCATTGCAGCATCCCCATAGTCACATGATCAAAATTCAGATGCTTGGCAACTGGTTCATATTTATGACCATTGCTCTGTGCCAAGGTCATGTGATCACCTTCTGCGATCGTCTGACAAGCAAAGTCAATGGGGAAGTCAGAGTCACTTAGCAATTGTGTTATTGATTTAACAATTGCAATGATTCACTTAATAGCAGGGGCAAGAAAAGTCGTAAAATGGGGCAAACTCATTTAACAAATGTTTGACTTAGAAACATAAATTTGGGGCTCAATTGTGGTCGTTAGTCAAGGGCTACCTTTATAGGAATCCTATCCTGCTCACATTGGCCAATCTCTGCAAGCTAGTCCTTTTAAACACCTTTGTAATATTTTGGTTTAATTTTGAAAAGCATTTAAAAGAACATTAAGTTCTTTTTTTAAAGTCACAATTATATCTATTTATTTTATTAGTCTGTTTCAGTCATGAAGCTCCTAAATGTATAACTAGGTGATATATAATATCTAAAAAATCTTTTTAACTGATTAGCAGAATAATGTGGTTGCTACAATAAATGTATCTTCAAGTTACATTATCAGAAATGTAATAAAATCAGATTCTGAGGAGTAATTGGTTAACTGCACAGAGCATTGAGCCCAGTTTTGATTGTCATATTTTAAGAAAGGTTTTGACAAAGAGGGCTTATCCAAAGAGGAGTGACCAGATTAGATTTCTAGAAAAAAACATCTTTAAAAAAATAGATTTCTAGAAGTATGGTAAAAGTATCCAGTTTTACTATGGTAAAAAGGAATATTTCAAGCAATCTTTGAAACTCACTTCACCTTCAACAACAGGATGTCACATAGAAAATGGAATGTGCTTTCTCTGAGCCCTGACTATATTTGGCCCCTCAAGACTTGAATCCTGATGCCAATCAATCAAAGCATTGATTCTGTTACTGTGTTATCTGTATCATTCATTTGACATACTTACTCCCCAAACCTATCCTAACATTATTTTTTACTTAATATTTCGATTCCTCCAGATTTTACAATGATCATTTTGCATAATTGCAATTTTCATGTACTGGATAAAGTGTGCTTCAGATTTGGAATACAAAATCCTTTGATTGTGGGAATGGTTCAATATTTGGCTTTGTGGATGACAAAATGAAAGATCTGGATGGATTACCGGATCAAATAGACTCAAGTATCTGCTTTAACAATGCTTTCATCAGTGCTAAAAAGAGAGAAAGGAGCGAAAGCACTTTGGGAATATAAAAATATTCAGTATGTGTTTTTAGTTATATCACTCGCTTAACTAATGATGAATTAATGCAGAGAAAATATTGCATCATGTAAATACTAGCATATAGCAGGAAAGATTATTAAAGTAATGAATTATGGAATGATGATGGCACCTGTTATATCAGATTTAACATTTTTTATTTTACAGTGATTACCTATGATATAAAAATATTCTGCAGTGATAATGTGAGCAAAATAAACATGGTGCCTATCTCTCTGTCTGTATATGGAACCAATGGAGTCACTGAAGACCGAAGACTTTTGTTGTCACCATCATCTACAATTGAGAAAGGAGAAGTTGGGATGGTAATTCAGTTTTTTACTGTTATCTGAAAATACAGAATAAAAACATATTTCAGTTCCAAATGTGTGTATGTGCATTATATTTATAGGTTAGGTTAGGCTTTAAATCAGCGTTGATGCCTAGTGACTGCCTGGAGTAGTCCCTACAGTTTTCTTGGCAAGATTTTTCTGCAGTGGTTTACTATTGTTGGCTTCAAGTTTAAGGCAGGACTAGAATTGATGGTCTTCTAGTATCTAACTTGACACCTTAGCCATTACACCAAACTGGTTCTAGATAGATAAATGGATGGATGGATGGATGGACGGACAGACGGACAGACAGACAGACAGATATGGATGGAAGGTAGATAGGTAGAGACAAAGATTTTATATGTAATTTCTGCCTTATTGAAATATCTTCTGATATGTTTAGTTATTTACAGGTCAAACAGATGCTGTGGATTTGGGAAAATTGCACAAAATTGTCCTTCTCATTGAAAATACATCATGTAAGTTTTTTTCACTGCAAAAATATTGATGAGAACCTTGCAGTTTAACACTGATGCTGCATATGTATAATAAGTAGTATATAATATAATAGTACACTATATAACCTAATATAACTTCTTTGAGGTTTCATTAAATAGTTTAAAAATAGGAAACAGCATTATGCTGAGTAAGATCTTTGTTCCATCTAGAACAATATAATTCATGGTGATGGACAGCAATTTTTAACAGTTTCAAGCAGTTCTCCCAGCTTAATTTAGAAATGCCAGGAACTGAGTCTCAGACATTCTGTAAATGTAGACTCCATGTTCTGGCACTGAACTTGGAGGAAACGTATCTTTTAAATGACATTTATTTGAAAATAAGTCCTATAGACCTTTCCTTCTATTTGCAATAAGTATGGGAGTTGCAGTTGCATTATGCAGTTGCGTAATGATAGTTGGAGACGCTGTGGATGTATTAAATAGAAAAGCTCTCTAGTTTGTGATTTAAGTGCAACTACTTAAGGTTTAAGAAGGTATAGACTTGTAATGCTATTATTTACTGATCCTTAATATAATTTGATAGTAGTGTTGGCATGACAAAATGTTTTAATTATCTATTGCTCTAATGCAGCTTGCAAACTGGCAATTAAAGCTTTGCACTTAAAGGAAAATTTAAAGCAAGAGCCTGTGTACATATTTGAAGTGAACGAGTGAGTATGAGAAATATGAATCACCAGGGGCAAATTTGGGGGATTAAGAAAGGAAAGCTGATCAATACTTTACTTTGTTATTATGGTGTACTTACTACCAAGGAGGAAGGAGGTAATATCTTGGATTTTTTAAAACTCATATGCCAAAAATAATCTCATAGGCTTTCAATACCATAGACCTTGAAAGGAAAAGGAGATGAAACCTTTGGTTCTCCTTGTCAGGTAGCAAACTACCTGGCTAAAGTTAATGCTCTAATTTGCATTGCTATGTTTCTTTTTTTAAAACAAAACAAAACAAAACAAAGCTCACTGCAGACTGCAAACATACCAATTTGTTAGAGGAAAAGTGTGCAGTCCAAAAGGGCAGGGGTGTTGCTTGCCCCAAAAGATATAGTGCGGTGGTAATTAAGTAGAAAAGGCATTTGTTCACAACTGCCCTTGTAAGATTCAGAACCAAGACTTGTAAATGGGGCCTAGCGAACTCCCTGAAGCCTCAGTTTACATCAAAACAACCTATAATCTGAAAGGGATACGGGAAGAACAGCAGAGGAAAAGGGTAAATCCAACTGAAGGGAAAAAATAGTTTTTTATAGGAGGCACATATAAAAATCACACAGAGTAATTTGAATCTTATAAAAAGTTGCCATGCAGGATAAGCTTACCCGCCAGGGAGATTTTTGAAAAGTTTCACCAGCATGAATAAAACAAACTATCCTTTTTCCAGCTGCTATCTAACCCCTCCCTTCTGCTGCCCACTGTTGGCTGTTAGAGAATTGGTTCCATCCTTAACAGCTGTGGCAATGATAGTTTGCAGCCAGGAGACCCTGTCAAAACTCACACCTGTGACAGTTGGAAAATCGTGAACTTCATGTTACCACTCAGAAAGTACATTCAGAGACATCATATTAACATTAATTATACTCTTCTTTATGTTATGGGCATTTCTTAAATGTGTCCCTTCAAGTCAGTTTTAATTCCTGGTGATTGCCCTGCAGTTTTCTTGGCAGCATTTTCAGAACTTCATCCCAGAGCTGAAAGGGACTAACTGGCCCACAGTCATCGGCTGGTTTTGCATCTAAGTTAGTACTAAAACTCATGATCTCCAAGTTTTTAACTAGTATTTCTCAATGGTAACAACTTGGATTTCATTACCCACAACTCTCCAGTCAGTGTGCTGATTAGAGAATTCTTGGGGTTGAAGTCTGCACATCTTAAAGTTACCAGAGTTAAGAAAGATGCATTACTGGATCTCAAGGAAAGGAGTCTTTTTTAAAAAAAAACATTTGTTTTTTCTTTATTAAATTTCATATCAAATTCTGTATATGGCTTGGTTTTTAAAAATTATTTTTAGAACATTCCATCTGGACACTGATAAATCTGAAATAAGGAGAGAAATCCCCCTCTCTTTGGTTAATAAAGAAGATAATGGACCAGAAAATCTGACAGAACATATTATTAAAGTGTACACTGGTGATAAAAGAGGGGCAGGAACTGATGCCAATGTTCATATCATTTTGTTTGGAGACATGGATACATCTAATTTAATTCAGCTCAAAACCTCTCTTGATCATCGAGATCCCTTTGAAAGAGGAAAGGTAAGTAATATTGCCCATGTGAACATATTTATTTTAAATTGGCAATATATATATATATATATATATATATATATATATGATATTCACATGCACAGAGCGTTGTGCATTATGCTAAACCAATTTACTATCTCATTCATTGATCTTATGACAGATAACATGACAAACTATACATTCCTTTTGCTGATATTCTTCTGGCCAATGCTTCCTTAAAAACTGGTGGCACAACCAGATTTAGAGCTATACAGATAGAGGGATAAGTCTCCTTGGGATGAGCCTTGTCCAGCACAGTGTCTTTAGAAATCTTATTTATTCTTTGTGAGCTTGATGTGAAGATTAAAATAGGGAAGCGGAAGAGATAAAAGAACTGGAGGAGCCCCATTTTAGGAAGCAGTTCGTTCTTCAGTTTCTTCCAATGGATAGCAGAAGGGGAAGTAACTCTTTTCATCTGAGTCTTAGATAACATACAAAATGCTGAATTAAGTGAATAGACTATATTAAACCATTGTTCCCCTATTGTATTTAAAGCTGTTCTCAATGGGAGTTTATCTTGGTGTTGAGCGCTTTGGGTTTTGATATTAAACTGGGCTTAATCATAGTACAACTTGGTGTATTCTGCAAATGTAGTCAATGAGACAAATATGAATATGGCAACTTTTTTGGGGGTGGGATTAATTACCATTGACTGTTAAATGTACACTTATTGTAAACAGGTGTCCTGTCATTCTGCTAGAGAAAAAGATTCCAGAAGCTACTTAACCTTCCTTTACCTCTCTAATACTGAACAAATTCATTTTTGTCTTTAGAGAATTAACTTAACACGAAAGAACCAATTTTGTAGAAGTCAAACTGTTGTTCCCCTTGGGGAAAAAATGCCAGCATTGCCAAAAACACTGGAAATAAAAAAAAATATTTTAAACCAAATTAGTAGGCTATTCAAAAGATTTTATCTTAATTAGAGTAAAATAACTTCTCTTTATGTCTTCAAAGGAAGGTTTATGTATCATTAAAAAGATATATATATAAATGGAAAACACAAGGTGTATTTTTTAAGCTAGCTGGAAGTTCATTATTTTTTAAGCCTATTTTCTAACATTAATAAGAATTGTACCAGCGTAAGTTTTCTTATTCTTTTTGCTGATATTCCACCCACATTTTTGAATAGTCAAAGGTAGGCTCAAGTACATGTCATACAAATAATTGTAATAAATGAAATAAAGAAATTGGGATGTTCTTTTATGTTTTTAAAAAAATGGAAAGAATTGCAGCATAGAATTTCAACCAAGATGATCATTAATCAAGATCTGGTATTTCTCAAACCACCTATAGTATATCATCTATATCAATATCATTTACACACATGCACACATTTTAGGCAAGTTCCATTGCTGATTCAAATAATGATACCCACTCTAGAACAATTTGTTTATTATTTATTTATTAAATTTGCATGCTGCCTATCTTGCAGTTTAAGGTGATTCTGAGTTTGGAAGAACAAAGAGATGGTGGAGACTGTGATACCTGAGGATTTTGCTACATATTAAGCAGAATAATTAAGAAAGTTGAAGATAGATCTGAATTTGAAGGGCAAAATGTGACAGGAGCTATTGAGCATTTACAGTATATGGTGCATTCCTTGGTTTGCTTGTGAACCCAGGAAGATACCTTTGATTTAAGATGTTCCCAAGAAGTGCTATGTACGTATTTGTGAGTGCTTGCACATACTGTGGCCATCTACACACAGTGAAAATAACATTTTCCTTTTCAAATCCAGATCACTGCACAGCTCTAGTTGCTATTTATTCATCTGACTAATGAAGCTGAATATGTCTGTTATTGTGACAAAAAGCAAATCTGTTTGCATTTTTTTTTCAATATCCAACAGAATTAAATTCTTCAACCAACCATTTTTATGTAGGTCCTTAGGTACTAGCAAAATATTCTTGTTTTTCTTTTATTTTTATACATGGTTTACTTTGATGGAAGGCAGAATGCTAGATTATTTTTCCCTTTCAGGTTTTTAATTCAAACCTTTGTTTAGTTGTCTATAGATATTTACTTGGAATTTTGAAATGTGTTTGAAAAAAATACCAGAATGCTCTTATACTATCTTTTTGAGTTAGGTCCAAAAAGCTTCTTTTTAGGCTGGTTTTCCTTCTTGTTAAGAAAAATGTGGTAGAAAGAATTCAGACAGAGACAAAAATTACTGACCTACCTGTAATCTTCAGTGTTGATAAAAGATCATATATCTCCTTGACCCTGGTTTAATTCAGACTAGTCCTTGATCAAGAGAAAAGCCAAGGGGCTGGCAGACTTATAATTTGGAAAATCGCCAGGCTACTTGGCACTTCTGGTTTCAGTTGCTTGTTCTTGGCAGAGGCACATGGAGCTGCATATGCAATGACCGTGGCATGTATTTTGCTGCAAAGGATGCAACTGAACTATATTTAGGGAAGCATTCACACCAAGCAAACATAGCATTTTCTAAAGTTTGACCTATCATAATTGAAAAGCTAATTCTATTTTTCATTTTAAAGTCTGATACATTCAAAATTAAGACAAAGATAATTGGAAGGCTGCAGAAGATTGAAATTGGACACGATGGGAAAGGGTTTGGTGAGTATATTTGCATTACTTGACTAAATTGTGTTTCATATGTGCTAAAACAGCTATACAGATAACTTTCACTTAATGATGCTTTTTTGGGACTGGGTATAAGTAAAAAAAAATATGATGAGAAACCACACCACATATATCAAATAAATCCACTCTATATTTTATCATTTATCGAATAAATCCACTTTGTTTTTTCTGTTTACTTTAGAAAGCTTGATCTTTAATCCCTTCAAATGATGTCCCACAAGCTGATTACTTATCATTTTCTTTTTGTCTTCTCTCAGGAACTCCTTCACTAGTTTAACATGTCTTTTTTGTATATCCAAGATAAAAAAGTTTTCCAAGTCATTCTTCTGATTTATTATTTGTATGTCATCTTTAATTATTAAGACATCATCCAGTTTTGTTGTAAATCCATTGTGGAGTCTTTTTCCATATGAGTCTTATACTCTGGTATTTTTAGATCCATTTGCAGATCAACCTTAGTCTGTTTTGTCTAGTAAAATCTGTTCCTCTTCTGTAGCCTCTATAACATCTATAAAATCTATTCTTATAGGTGTAAACAATCTTAAGACTAATTTCTGGATTAATTGATCCAGAGCCACTTGGTTGAGTGGCTATAAAAATTGAATGAATGAATGAATGAATGAATGAATGGATGGATGAATGAATGTCATTGATTTCTTCCATAGTCAATATTGCTCTGCTGTTTTAATGAGTCTCTTCTCTTTTACTTGTAATCGTTAATTCGCTCTGGTTTCCTCTAGTCAATCTATTCTCCCACTGTAGTGAAAGTCCTTCTAAAAGTTCTTAACCAAAAAATCAGTAACAAGCAATTTCCTAAGGTGGTTAAGAGAGAAAATAGGAGCACTCAGTGTCCAATTGAAGGCATTGAACTGGCTTAGCCAAGATGATTTTCCCTCTGGTTCCCACAGCAATAAAACCCACCAAAGATTGCTATTTTACAAACTCTTTGTGAAAAGCCTCTGTGTGGAGCAAATGTGTGGGTTATCCCAGTCCTCTCCTTGATCCAGAGGGGAGTTCTGAAGAGCCAATTCATTCACCAGCTACTCTTTCTACTGCAGCCGTATGTTGTGGACCCATCTTCAGTCTGCCATTGTTTCTACCAATGAATGATGAGGCTGTATTTATAAATAAAAGATAATATGGGAGAGATTTAGTTTTTACAGAAAATGATAAGTTGGGATGCAAAATTAATTTATTTGATTAAGGTTAAAATATATGTTATTATTTCTGGTAGGTCTTAATGGACTTTTGTTGATTTAGGCTGAATGATGAGATCTTGCAATTTGTTTATTGATAAGAGATGAAATATAGGAATTTTTTTTATTAAAATACTAAAGAAAGGGTTATTACAGAAGCTGATTATACTTGTCTGGAGGGGGGAGGAGTTATTTCTTTATATAACTTCCTTATTTTTTATTTTTCTCTGTACTTTTTATTCTTCTTTTTTATCTTTTATATTATTTATTTATTTGTAAAATTTATTATCTGTCTATCTTACCACAGGGCAACCCTGGGCTTGTCCTTGGTTTGCATTATTATTTTATCTTTGTATTTGAAATCTTTAATAAAAAATACTATTTAACAAAATGTGTCCATTGCATTTAGCAATGGCAGTTCCAACAGTCCCAATTACTGTCATTAAGCAAGGACAGTGCATATTGTTAAGCGAGGACCCCAAATAACCGTGAATTATGACTTCCTGCTGGATGACTTCCTGCCGGCCCTTGTCACTCAGCTGAATTTATCTCACAGGACAATTCTGCTTAATGATACTGTACAGAGTCAATAAGCTTGCCTAGTTCACCTCTCATATTTTGTCATTGGGTGGGTAGCAGGTAAAAAATAATTAACCTCTCGTCATTGTTTAGTTGACTTGGCTGACATTAAGAAATTGAGTCTAGACAGCCTTGTTGACAGAGATTAGTTTGTGGTAGCCACCCCTTGCTCAATTAAGCCAGATGATCCTGTTTCTGAAATGATTTGGGTAATTTTATGTTTGCATGAATAGCAGCTGCAGCCCTTATCCAGGCATTTGGAAGTGGCCTGATTTGGGCCAGTCTGATCTTTATTCTCATTTATTTTTAAAGCAAGTGGCTGGTTTCTTGAAAAGGTAGAAATTACAGATATGTCTACAAATGAACTCTACAGCTTTAGCTGTAACAGGTATGTTTTGCTTTGTTTAAATTTTTATTATTACAGCGTTCAACAGAAATATTAACTAACTAATATGGCTGGTGGCACAGTGGTTAGAATGCAGTATTGCAAGCTAACTCTGCCCGCAGCCTGAAGTCTGATCCTGACCAGCTCAAGGTTGACTCACACTTCCATCCTTCTGAGATCAGTAAAATGAGGACCCAGATTGTTGGGGACAATATGCTGACTCTGTAAACAACACAGAGAGTGCTGTAAAAGCACTATGGGGCAGTATATGAGTCTAGGTGCCACTGCTACTGATAATATTACACACCAGGAAATATTTTTCCTTTTCCAAGGAGAAGGAAAATCACAAATGCAAGAGAAATTGAGAATCATTAGGTCTGAGCTTCAGGCTCAGGGGATTAGTAAGTGGTCAACAGCATATTCATTCAATTGAAATGAAACCCACATAATCCCCATAGATTTTCATGTCTATAGGAACTTCTACAAACTGTGTCTTTTAGATATGTTGGATTACAACTCCCATAGTTCCCAGTTGGCATGATCAATGGAATTAGGATGGGGAATTCTGATCAAATGTACTTTCTCTTTCAATAAAATATGTATATTTTCTTTATCAGATGGCTGGCTGAAGATGAAAATGATGGATGCACAGTAGTACAGCTTTACATATAATTTTCTGAGAACCTGTTTGAATCTGCTTCCCTCTTCACTTCAAGCTGATCCAATTTATTTGTATTTCCTTATTATGAAAGAGCTATAATTATCATGAAGCAATATCAAAACAATTTATCACATTTTAATAATTCCATTGAGAATGACTCTAGGCATTCTAAACACATTTATTCAGTTATACAATAAAAGAAATTCATTGTTCTGTATGTCTTAGTATCATGATACTTTCACAATATTTAAAATTGGCAGGTTTTTTTTAATATAGGAAAAAGAAAAGGCAAGTAATATCAGTCGTGAGCAAGCTCATAATGAAATCTTTTACTGGAAGTTTATTTTTGTATAAATGAAAGTACTTTCTTGGTAACATCATACACGGGTAGCTTATTCTAGTAGGCAAAATGCGTTCAAAATGGTTATGGAGAATTCTGTGGCAAGATGTCATAGATAACTACATGAAATATTTACCTTATAAAGAACACTTTTGAAGCCAAATCGTAGGAAGACTCACTGAACAGAACTGTGTATTCTCATCCTCATTCCAATGGTAACAGTACTTATATTGTGTGCATATTAGAGGGAAGGAGGGAGGGATAAATATTTCTTTCTTATGTCTATAAATAATCTTATTGTTGTGAAAATGGCATATTTTGGGGGAAATGTTAAGTTTATAATGATAGTTAGAAGGAACTTAGAAGCTTTTATACAATCATTTTATCAAGATACACTATCCAAATAACTAAATAATCATAAACCAATCAAAGGAAAAATTATAAAAATAAAAAAATAAAAAGCTTTAAAAATGTATGTTTTATTTTAATGTATCTTCACTTTGAAAATTAAAAACTCTGTCAAAATGCTAATCAATAATGTTCTTGGATATAAGAATAAATGGTTTATAATGGTACTATGTTAAAAAAATAATACAATATTTTCTAATTGAATGAGGAAATAATTTTAATTAAGTTTTACTAAAAAGTCTATTTCTGCTTGCATTGCTAGGATAGATACTGAAATGAATGTAAAATGTTATCCCTAGAGTGCAGAAATTAGTTTAGTCAGTATCTGTATTCATTTTACAGAATCACTTTACACTTTTTTTCTAGTGTCTTTCACTAATAGTTAGTAATATGAACTTACCCTGATGCCATTTCTAGCATATCAAGTGTAAATAATATTGTCTTAATTTGTTTATCTCAATAATACTGAGTAACATCTTTTAGCAGTTTATTTGGTTCTTTTATCCTATTTTGTGCTATTCAAAATGAGGTCCTAGAAATATATAACATATTGTTGAATGATTTTAAAGAAAGCAGTTCAAACAGCATTTGCAAAACACGCAGGGGAAATTCCAACAGGCATTCCATTTTGCTGACCTAAAGTAAAAGATTTCTGGAAATTGAGCAGCTGGGGTCAGTTTCAATAGAAGACAGGTCAGTTTAGATATAAGCTTTATAATTCATTATTTTCTTAATTTCTACTTAAAACCATAACATTTTTAAAAATTAATTTAAAAAATTATCCATGTGGCAGTTTTACCACATATTGAGCTTTCTCTGAGGAACAGGACAATAATCTCAACCTTATCCAAGTGTTTTATGATTATGTGATTATATCAATAAAACTACTGTGAGAGGAATTTCTCACTAAATGGCTTATGATATGAAAACTACAATCTACAACTTAAACTGGTCTCCATAACATGGGTATATTTGCAAACTAGAACAGTTATGTTATCATATAGGTCAAGGGTAGGCAACCTTGGCTCTTTTATGACTCATCGACTTCAACTCCCAGAATTCCTGAACCATCATGGCTGGCTCAGGAATTCTGGGAGTTGAAGTCCACAAGTCATAAAAGAGCCAAAGTTGCCTACCCCTGATATAGGTGATTTAATTCAAAATCATTCTGCATCCTTGGTTATATATTTCTGAACCATGATTCAGATTTTCCAAAATTAGAGTATTCAGACTGAGTTTTAGTTTATTAATTTATCAGTCTAATTAATAAACTTTGGCAACAAGTGCTACAGATTATGTGAGATCCATTATTTTTTTTCTCTGAGTGAACTACATATTGTTTGGACAGCTTTAAATGTGCTATAAATGTGCCTATTTGCTGTGGGATTCATGCAGCAAATGAAAACTCATACCTCATAACAAATAGTATGGATCAGTCATGCTATAACTCATAACAAACAATCTATGGAAAAGTAAATTCAATATTTACTTAAAATGATGAGAGGCTGACTATTGAAGTATCAATATGATCAGTGTTTCTGTCAGCAATGGTCTTCTCTACCTCACTACGCTAACTTGTGATTTTGTTATACTGCATGTAAGAAAGCACTCTAGATCTAAATCATGAATACAAAATGTGACTATCCAGATATTGCTGAATCACAACTTCCAGCATTGTTACTGTAGCTCAGATACATCTGAAGGGGCACACATTTTGAAACTCTGATATTGGTCAATATTGAAAGACAACACGAAAAAGAAAAAAAACACCTGAACCATGAGATGGGCAGCAAATAAGTTTGACAAACAAACAAACAAAATTTAAAAATCAAATATTTATTACAATAGTTTTCATGACTTCTTGTGCAAACTTATAAAAATAGAAGCCATTGTCTCAATTTCATTTTTATTTTTTTTTTTGCAAATGTTGATTATTTTTACAATCTTGACAATCTTGGAGTCATTTTGATGTTAGACATATAACTAAAATCAGCCTTGAATTATGAAATTCTTGTATTTATCTTCCATTCCATCACTTTATAAAATAAAGAGAATTTTCATGAAATAAAATAGTGTATGCATATTTATGAATAAATTACTGTCAACAAGATTAATTCAACAATGTTGGAATGAAAAAAATGTTTTGTTATATTAATGCGTAAAAATTAAGACATGTTATTGAATGACATTTGTGGAGTCTTCATTGTGAAAAATTTAAGGCTAAAATCTGACCTATTCTTGCTTTGATATTCATGAAAGTTCTTTAATACAGCAATTAAACATGAAAAAATTGCCAGTAAATTTCTAAGTAATCAATTGTGTCAAAATATATTTTGGATATCTCAAATATGCGAAAGAAGTGAATCTTATAACAGAAAACTCTAAAGTTTAGCCTTCAACCAGTTTCTATAGAGACAGATTTTTTAAAATGTTTACATCTATCCACAAATAACTCAGACAATGGTATACAGAAATGGTTCTCAGCTAGTTTCTATTCCCTTTACAGACGACAACAGCCTTGACCTGCTGATGTAGTAAAACAATATTCACTAAACATTTAATGTGATTTTATTAGAGAAGAAAAATGAGGAAATAGAATTTATCTCTTTCACAGAGAACAGTGTTCTGTTATTATTTGACAAATGTTTACATACCTTTGGTACTATACTAAATGATCTGAATTATGCATAATTTGTACTTTAGTAGGGAATAATATACCCATAACTTAAGCAGCTTAAGGGTGGAAATGAGAAATGGGATTCTTTGGCATAATTTCATGAATTTGTAGAATGAAACCAACACTGCAAAATTATTATGGAAATTATAGCTCATATAAACTATATTTCATGCAATTCTAAAGGTTTATTAACAAAGTAAAAGAATAAGAAAACATACACACTAGACCAGTGTTTCTCAACCTTGCAATTTTAAGATGGATGGACTTCAACTCCCAGAATTCCTCAGTCAGCCATGCTAGTTGGGGAATTCTGAAAGTTAAAGTCCATCCATCTTAAAATTGTCAAGAAATGCTGCACTAGACAGAAGTACACACACAGACACACACACACACAAACAAACAAACAAACAAGCCAATCATTATTGAGATATCTTAAACAGATAGGAATGATTGCTACATGTGTATGTCTTAAATCAATTCAGCATCTAAATGGGTTTGTTTCAAAAGGATTTTCAGAGGAGTAAAGGTGGGGTGGGAACGAACAAGGAATCTCATAGAAATTCTCCTATTTATATGGTAGGATTCTAGAATCCAAATGTTGTTATAGGGATTGTTCACAAGGGTATTTTGTTATTAGCCTAATGACCACCATTTTGCTTCTGTACACTGTGCTTGCGTTAGGGATGCCATTTTGTGAAGGCAGGAGGATCACATACACAGACCCAGAGACGGGGGAAAGAGCAGGAAAGTAAATGAAGGATGATTCGTTAATATTCTGTGTGCCAACAAGTGTCACCTTGTGATTTTTTTTGTTACCTGTATATAAATAGAAGTGCCTAACTGACCACTGTATGGCACTTCTGAATGCAGCTGCCAGTGTTTCAGACAGTGTTCCACCCAGCAACTTGGCCAAATAAAGTTCTGTTTGACTTGGAAGCCTCCGCTTGAGTCTCCTGATTTGCCCTCTTGGAACCTCAAGTTCTTCTGGTAGCTGCCGACCCTTACGTTATATTAGATTACTTCTGTAATTTTGTATTGAAATTTGTTTAACTTCAGCTAGCTGCTTTTGTATTAGGAGAAACATAAAATATTTTATAGTTGTAAAAAAATGTTTTTCTGTGTCATGATTCAGATAAAAATTGTTTCCCCTTAGTCCTATATGTAGAAGTGTGAAAAACTTCAATTTTCATTAAGATTTTTTTTCCTTTAAGAAACAGTTTACCTGTTCTCTTTATCCTACAACCTATGGAACAAAGTCATTCTTACCTACACCTCTAGTGGATCCTCATTCAGGAAGTGATTGGACTAAATGATCTTTAATATAACTTTCAGTTCTCTATTCTGTGATCACATACAAAAACTTGGAAGGATTTATATAAATGTAATCAATATTCTAACTTTTACATCATAATAGTAGAACAAAGACTGTGGACTCATATCTTTGGGCATAATTTGCTGCATTTTAACTAATAATTTTATTTTACAGAATACAACTACAATATACGATAATACTATTCCAGAGTATTCTGTTATACAAATTGTTTCAAAAGTCTTCTTATGCCAGCTTAATTTAATGAAAAGAAAGACTAGGGTTGACATGATAGTAGTATTCCAATATCTCACTGTTTGCCACAAAGAAGAGGGAGTCAAGCTATTCTCCAAAGCACCTGAGGTCAGGACAAGAAGCAATGGATGGAAACTAATCAAGGAGAGAAGCAACCTAGAACTAAGAAATTTCCTGACAGTTACAGTAGAATATCAGTAGAACATGTTGCCTCCAGAAGTTGTGAATGCTCCAACACTGGAAGTTTTTAAGAAGAGATTGGACAATCATTTGTCTGAAATTGTTTAAGGTTTTCTGCCTAAACGGGGTTGGACTAGAAGACCTCCAAGGCCCCCTTCTAATTCTGTTGTCCTATCCTATCCTATCCTATTCTATTCAGATCCTTCCTTAAAATATTATGGTGTCTTCAAAGAGTCTCTAAAGTGCAGTATATTTTATTTTGAATAGACACACATGTGGGATTATATTGTAATGTCATTGTCATATTATTTGCTTACAACCTTTGTCCTTTTTCTTTTCCCTTTCCTTTTCCTCTGTTCTCTGCCCACTGTCAAAACATAGATTAAATATTTTTCTCAAAGTCTCACATGGACTTTGAAGTTGTTAGAAGCATATAAAGGACTGTGTTAAAACAGTTTCTAAGCGTGCTAATTATGTTTGTATTACGTTAAATAAGAATATCTTCTACACAACTGTATCTTTTAATGGGCTTAATTAAGAAATTTAGCAACCATACAATAACTGGGACTGTATTTGCAATTCTTCATTTAATAAAAAGGTTTTGTTTGT